CTAACAATCCTCTGTACAACTATATATTAGAGTAAATCTCACTTTGAAAAGTAAAATCTCACTTGCTTGAAAATTGATTAATGCTCTTTTTTAAAACTGACTCAATTTTCACTCTTTAAGAGTGAGATTCCATTCCAAAGAATTTAGAGAGTATCTTCTTCGCTAATTAGTTCAACCTGTGGAAATGTATTTTCATATTTAAATTTTATATTTAGATTGAAATTTCATATTTAGATTGTTATTTTGATGCAAATATGAATCTTGAACATGAAATTTTAATTTGATTTTATTAACGGAAACGAGAAATATTAAGATACAACGAACGAGTGATACGCATTTATATATGTATATAATCCAGTCATAATTTTTATACATGTTAAATTATTAATTGTTTAGAATTTAAAATTCATCACAATATGTAACAAAAAAAAAAGAACAAAAGAATGTAATCTCTAGTAAGTCTAGCTTTAAAAGTTTGTTCACGTCGCATGCTCCAACATGCTTTAATATGCTTCTACACATAGCTTCACTCCAACGAGCGATTGAAGTAAGTAGAAACACTAGAAACAACGGTAATAGCATGTTGGAGCAAGCTGGAGCATGCTATGCAAACAAACTTTATGATAAAAGTTTAAAAGTTATCCAATACTGCTTTTTTGTCCACTTCTGAGAATATGAATTGTATAAAAGCTATGGACGGAAAACGCGATAATTTATAATTCATAGTACATGTACTTGAGAAATAGTCAGAATCATTGAGATTCAGATTAAAATTAGTAAGTTCAGTTTGCTAAATAAAAAATGCAATGTTTAATTAAAGAATACATTTTTATTAAAACTGAATTTCGAGTGTCAATTACCCTCGGTGAAATCAAGATAAACGGAATATTCGATCTTGGAAACTAGAGGTAAATCTACATGGCGAACGTGATTCATATTTCTGATATAACTCACGATAGACGTAAAGTTTGCGTGTTCTACCAACAATAAAATTGTAAGTTTCTCTATATTTACGTGATTGATCGTAAAGTTTCGCAGCGAGAGATAATCTTGCATCCTCGTTGATAATTCTTAATCAGGAAAAACATGAATGATTAACTAAAACGACGTTATTAACGTCACGATCAAACAATTTTGCAAAATTTCGAACTTGCGGCTCAAGTAGCTCAAAGTAATTGCTACCGTTTGCCGCCAACTTCGTTCACGAAACCCTCGAAACTTTCAAGATGTAATTTCCACATAACGCATAATTTTAACTTGACACTCGCAACTATGAAGCCGCGAACTTCGCAACTGTAATTTCCGCGTGATTTACCACATCGATCATCCCGTACTAATCTACAACATGCAAGTGTAAGATTTTTCTTGTATCATTTAATTTTAATCCTACAACAATTTGTGAACGATCTCTTTCTTCCTTTATTTATTTATTTTTTCTTTAAAATTAAGATACATCACGTACAAAGAGTTTTTAAATTGTATACAATTAAAATTAAGAAAGTTTTGTTAATTAAACTAAATAATTTCTTTCTAATACTTATCAAATAAGTCTTTTTTTTTGCGAGATATTAATTATAAACCTAATTAGCAGAATATTTAACGAACGATATAATAACCTTTATGCTTGTACGAATCTTGC